CCTTCCAAACAAAAAAAAAAAAAAAAAAAAAAAAAAAAAAAACAAAACAACAAAAATACTTTTACACTTCTTTCCAAAAATTACATTTAACTAAGAAGAACGCCCAGCCCTTAATCCCCCTCGTTGGACGTGAGATCTTCTTCTTCAAACCCCTCATCCAAGGGAGTCTGGGCAACGTCGTCTTCTCCTACTTTCACGAGACTGAAGTCCACGTTTGGGAACAGTTCTTGCGCCTTATACTTGAAGCTCATCCAGCCGCTGTCCTAGTACTGGCTCATCTCGTGCTTGTAGAAGTCTGACCGCTGAAAGCTTTGGATCACTTCTTCTTCGCTTTTACCTTCAGTGGCCACTCCCGACGGCCCAGCACCCTCTTCCCCCTTCTTCACCAAGCTTCTGGCGACCGTGGCGTTAATGGCCATCTAAATACACTTAGAAAACATTTTTGCAAACTTTGCTGAAAATAGGGGCTTTGCTCGAGCGAGACTTTCTACGCTCGAGCGTAAGTCCAAAATCAAAGGCTTCGCTCGAGCGAGGAATCCTTCGCTCGAGCGGTCTGCAAAATAGTAAAAGTATTGGATGCTGAAATTTTACGCGCGATCGTCGCTCGATGGTCGCTCGAGCGGAGCCCTGGACAAAGGTGCTCGCTCGAGCGGGGAATCCTTCGCTCGAGCGAGGAAGCGAAATCTGGAATTTCCAGATTTGCCTCCCAAGCTCAAACCAAGCATTCAACCACTCCAAACTCGACCTCTTGGGCCCAAATTCTGGAAAACATCATTAAATTCAATGTATAACAAGTTTCAAAGCTCAATTTATGAATTCAAGCCCCAAAGGTGAGTCAATTAAAACCACATTCAAACCCATTTTCAAGAACAACATTCAAACATGTCATGCATGAGTTTCAAACCAAATTAAATCTTCAAAGCTTGTTCAAATGGACTCATTTCTTCAAGAACATGATGAATTCATGGGGTATGACCAAAAGATGGACATGCATGTAACCTTTTGCCATGGAAACAACTCAAATATCTACATTACAAACATGCATGCATGAAATGAGTTCCAAATCAACACAATGAACCAATTCTAGACTTGAATCACTAGAGGCTCAAGAATCTAACATGAATGAGCTCAAACACATTACAAAGAGGGGTTGAATTCCTTACCTAGAGCTTTAGTTACAAGGTGTGGAAGTTAAATTTGCAACCTATGTTCCAATTCCTTCAATTTCCAAGCAATTCACAAGGTAGAACTCAATTTCTCTCCCTCTCCCTCTCTTGGTCGGTTAAGGACAAGAAAATGGCTGAGCAAATGTGTTTTGATTCAAGTATAAGGCTCAAGTGTGTGTATATGAGATAGTGGCAAAATGGTAAATATGGCAAACTCTTTAATTGGCTTATTTTTAATCTAATTTAATCATACCTAATCAGTTTTCAGATAAATATACCATAAAATCACATTAATTATGAGGGTCACGGAACATCAATCGGTTTCTAATTCGGCCGCCGATAAGGCCTTCAATTAGCAGTTTAAACATATAAACATGAACAGATAATCAGACAATCAAACAGATAGAATGCAATTAATTAACATATACTCAGTCAATTCAGTTTCAATTTCAGTCAGTCAGTTCAGTATTTCATTCAGTTCGATTATCAGTCAGTTATCAGTCATTATCCGTTTCGTTTAACAGTACGCGGTGATTATCGGTAATCGGTCAGTCATTAATCAGTAAACAGTATGAGGGTTGTTACAGTAATGGAGCTACTTGTAAGGAAGCATGATCAGCGATCATGGAGGAGCAGTTCGACGGTTCGAAGTGCAGTTCGAAGGTCATCACTGACGAGTATAAATAGCAGGGCAGCCCCCAGAAAAAAAGAGGAACTGAGATCATACAAATCAGTCATTTACTTCATATATTTTCTTTTCCTGTCTTTTACATTTCCAGTCTTCAAATACCTGTTCTTTAAATACCTGCACTTTAAATAACCGCACTGCACTTCGATTCATAGGAGTAGCTTCAAGTAGATTCAAGTAGATTGCTGTTGTAAACCTCTCCGAGGCTGAGTTTGGACCATTGTAAGTGTTCATTTTTATGAAATACTTCAATTGTTCTTCATATTACTGTTATTTCTCTTAATTTCTCCTAAGTCAAGCCACCAGTAAAAGTCCTCTTCATTGAGGCTGAAAAGAACTAAAACACAATCGTCTGATAATTGGTTGGCAATCACAATTTCTGTAAGGACTGATTGATCCTTGCTGGCACGCTCACATTTACAAAAATACCCTTCGAAAAGCCAAAAAGCCAACAGTTGCTCTCATCTTTTGTCCCTTCTGTTTTCTAGGGAGAAGCTGTGCTCACTGCTGCATATCTTCCCAATCGGATGCCTACTCCTCTTCTCTCAAGCTCATCTCCGTATGAGCGTCTCTTTGGTGTTACTCCCAATTATTCTCTTCTTCGTATTTTTGGTTCTGCATGCTTTGTGCTCCTTCCTAAACGGGCGCGCTCTAAGCTTAGTTCTCGTTATGTCCTATGTGTCTTTTTAGGGTATGGCATTAATCAGAAAGGTTATCGGTGCTATGATCCTGCCACCAAAAAGCTATATGTGCCTAGGCATGTCACTTTTTTAGAAAAACTACCCTACTACACTATATATTCCACCCATGTTCCTATTACTAAGGATGAATTGGTTCATGT